TACCTGAAAAAAAACGTCATTGAACAATGAGATAAAACAGAGCAAATTTCAGACAACACTTTAGGATATATATATATATATATATATATATATATATAAAATACACTTCCTGAGGGCCTTGCCAGTCATGAGCGAGCGTCAATTCTAACCCTCTTGACTCAAATTAAAGGCACGTTTACTACAAAAATGGTTACTGCTTTCCGTTCTTCCCTTAGGAATACTCAGTGGCCCCGAGGGCAATAGAAAGGACAATTCTGCGCCCCAAAAACTCGACGGTTACGGCATAGTTGAAGCCCTGCTCCCGGCTCGCGCGTCCTTTCCGCCCCTCGATCGATGTACGTCAAAGGAGTGTCAAGGCGAAACGGATTGCAGTTATTCGTTCTAAGACCCGCACAACTGGTCGCCGAATGATGAGATGTTTTTCTCCCACTCTTTTTTCTCTGTTATTCCATCTGCCGCCACCATCCCTTATTTCATTTCTAACCCCAAGAGGCAGAAAAAGTTGAGCTACTTCACTATTACTAGGGTTTTTCGTTTACTTATACTTATAAGTGATAAATTTTTGCTTACCGTAGTAAGTTATTTGCACCACATGCATGCATTGACCCAATCCTATATCTCGTCCAAACGCCCCACTCCTCTCCATTCCTTTGGTCTAATTCTCGTCCTTTCCCTTTTTAACAATTTTTGGAGAATTTTTTAACTTTCACAACACCTATTCATGCAGTTCCTTCGCCTTCATCGCACTATTTTCCATCTTATCTTCCATTTTTCGTTATAATCTGGATTACCCAAAATTATCATGAACTGTGCCTTTACAAACTTCGCTCACGCTTCGCCCCTTTTGAACGGTGTCTATTCCCGCCACCTGACACCACTGTTCCCACCCTGCCGCTTATACTCTTACTAAATTTGAACGCCCTAGACCGAATTTGAAAACTTTCGCCTAAACCCAGCTTTTTGCGGCCAGAGTCTAGTCGTGCCACCTACCATCAGCATTACTATACTGCTGCCTGGACTCCTATGAAATTGCAACGCTGTAGGTCTAGAGGGACAGAAGTTATGAGTTTTCGGTCAGACATCCAGCCGATTAACTATCATACTAGAATCAAGGCCTTAGCTTGTAAAGTAATGTGTACGTTCTCTGCAATCCTTTACAATCTGACTGCCCCAAATTTAAAGGCACGGTTCAAGATAAAAATGGTTAGTGAGTTCTTCCCTATGGCAACTCAGTGGCCCCTGAGGGTCATAGAAAGGACCCGCTTACGCTCAAGAACTCGACGGTTACGGCACGGTGGAAGCCCTGTTGCTGCCTTTTGGCACGACTTCCGAAGCCTTTTTTCACTTCGGAAACATCGATCCACGCAGTTCCTTCACCTCCGTCGCACTATTTTCCATCTTATCTTCCATTCTTCGTCATAATCTTGGCTACCCAAAATTATCGTGAACTGTGCCTTTAAAGACACAGTTCACGATAATTCAATGGGCGGGCACGTCATTGGCTTTATCACCTCTCGATCGATTCACGTCAGACGAGTGTCGAGACAATACAGATTGCAACTATTCGGTCTAGGACCCACACACAATCAGCTGCTCGCCGAGTGATGAGGCGATGTTTTTCTCCCATTCTTTTTCCTCCGTTATTCTTTTTGCTGCCGTGATCCCTTATTTAATTTCCTACCCCCAGAGCCTGAAAAAGGTGAGCTACTTTTGCTGTTACTAAGGTTTTTTTTGTTTACTTATGCTTATAAGTGAATTTTTGCTTACTATATTCTGTTATCCGCACCAGGACCCGCGCACACAGTGAGACACATCGTATAGCTCGTCCTAACGCCTCACTCTTCTCCATTTTTCTGGTTTCATTCTCGTCCAGCCCCCTTTTTAACGGCTTTTCGGAGCCTTTTTCACTTTGGAAACACCGATCCACGCAGTTTCTCCACCTTTATCGCACTATTTTCGAACTTGCCATCCACTTTTCATTAAAATCGATTACCCAAAACCATCGTGAACTGTGCTTTTAAACAGGAAAAGTACCACGTTGAACTAACTCCTTGAATAGGCAAAACGTGAATGATTAAATGAGTGTCCGAATCAACGAAAATTCCATAGTAAAATACTGTTATAAAACCAACTCTCCCCCAAAACGTCCAAAACCAGTCCCCATCTCTACTCATTGGGGAACGCCCGCTCCGCACGTCCGTCAGAAACCGGGTCACCCGGCCCAGTCCGCGCGCAGCGCGGCTCTGTGCGCCCTCGAGACGACATTACAGTACCACTCAGTGTCACTAAAGCGAACGATTTGCATTGGCCCGTGTTACCCTTCCTTTAGGTTGACTGCCGTGTACAGAATCGTATGCCCTACTGACAACTGCGACGTCTGTCAAAAATCGCGGGATGAAGCGACGCATGTCAGAGCTGCGGCGTGACCCAGCTTCGGCGGACGCGTGGAACGGACGCACCCCTACTTGTTGGTCATGATGAAACACAACAGAACAAACAAGCCATCAGAATCTGTTTTTGCAAAAAAAATCAAAGAACGAGAACGACTAGAAGGATTGTCAAACTCAGAATTACAACTCCGAAGTGTCAAGATCTGAGCGCTTCACATGAACCACACTTGAGTTGAAAAAAACCGAACGCCTCAACTCAATAAATTCTTTTTCTTTAAGCACTCATAAGCAGCGTAGAAGCGCTCAGTGGCCCGGCGTTGCCACGTAGACAGAGGATCAAGTCCCGAATCGATATTTGCCCTTCACTTTGTATGTCGGTTGATACAAAGTTTTTCTTGGACGATAAAAAGACTAGTTGCTTTCCACTTGGCCCCGCAAACCATTTCAGTTAACTACTTGGCAATTCAAGCTACTTTTTATGCATTAGCGACAATGTTACCGATGGCAGGCAAAAAATGATGGCCAGCTCAGCCGGGGACGGCATTCGGTTGTGTCTAAATTCTTCGCTAGTGACAATCACTGACTACCATCACCTTCTCTAAATGTAACCACTACGACTTTGATTGGAACTCAAATGCATAAGGACATTTTAAGGAAATGTTGATCATAGGTGAAAACAAACATCTTCCATCATTTATCGTCGTCTTCAAAGAAAAAAGCATCAATAGTGATTCCGAGCGTCAGAGAATCTTGCCACCAATTGACCAAAAGATAGAGTAAGATGTATGGAATATTTCGCCTTTACCCTCTTCGATGCTTCGATGAAGAGCCATAGAAGCAGAAGCAGATGAGGGCAAGCAGGGTAAAATTGCACTGGTAAAATATAATCTTAATCCAACTGTTGCACTCAATGCTATTATGTTTGTATGTTTTATACGCTTCCTGTTGCTATCTATTTCTATATATTTAATCGGCTAAGAGCCTCTGTTGGTGTGTTTGTGTGTGTATGTCTGACCGGAAATTCATAACTTCTGTCCCAGTGTACCTGAAGCGTTCAAATTTGGTAGCAGTACAGGCGGCAGGATGGAGACACTTTTGGTGGGGGGAAGGGGGGGGGGGCAGGATCAGCCTCCGCCCACAATGGGCGGGGTTTGAGCAAAAATTTACAACTACTGTTCCCGTGCATCTAGGGCGTTCAAATTTGGTAGGAGTACACGGGTGGATGGGGACCATTTATGTTAGTGGGCAAGAGTGGACTCCCCCAATAATGGCCGGAGTTTCAGCGCATCTAGGGTGTTCAAATTCATTAGAGGTTTAAATAACAGGATTGGCAAGGGGGGAACACTCATGGTAGGTAACAATTCTCGACTCTGGGCGGGGCGTGCTTGAAAATTGGCAGTTTGGACCAGGGGCATTGAAATTTGCTAGGAATAAAGTCGGCAGAATGGGAATGCTGATGAGAGATGGCATCATTGACAGAAGGCGTGACGCACGCGAAAATTGCTAATTTTGACATGGGGCGTTAAAATTTGGAACGAGTGCAGGCAGCAGATTTGGTACACCTATGGTAGTAGTAGAAGGTAGCTAAACTGGATCCAGCAGTCAAGTTGGAATAAAAAGGAATGAACCCAAGGCAGGAAATGTGTCGGTGTGTGTGTATCGCTAGAAATATGTTTTCTTGGATCAGATTTTTTAAACTTGGGAGAGTGCAGACGGCGGCTCAACTTCAACCCAATAAGGAGAGCCCGGCGTTAGCCGGGCGATCCGATTGGTTATATTGGTCCTCTAAGCGTAAGCGGTAGTGGGTTGTGGTGCACGCGTTAGCGTGTGTAGCCCAACTGGTGGTTTATAATCAATCACAGTCTCTTTAAATGCACAGTTCACGATAAAAGTGGTTTTTGAGATTTCCCCATAGTATTAATTCGAGGCTGCACCTTATGCCATACCTGCCGCTATATGATCGAGCACAATAAGGGGCCACATGTATCGTGTGAATGCCACACCCACAGTGGACGAGTTTCATTGGCTTTGCAGAGGCTGCACCATCTCAAGAGGCTTCCATGTAAGAAGTTCAAACACCTTGCCATAACCCAGGGCGACAAGGAAAAGCAGTTTCGTACAATTTCGGCTTGGTGTAATCTTATTTTTGCGCAATGGGAGCAAGTTAGATCTCGTCCAAA